CCAACCCGGCGCCCGCTCCACCCGACGATCCACCCGACGACGACCCCCACTCCCCGAGGGCGAGAGCAGCGGCAGGAGGAGCAGGTGGACGGGAGGGGGGCCTTGCCCCCTCGGACGCCGCGCCACCGCTCGTGTCCAAGGCAGGTCGCGCGGCGGGGCGGCTCACCGTGGCCCCGCACTCGGCCATCCGGCCACGAGACCTCGCGCTCGGCTTCGGCTGGCCGTGGCTTTCGGCGTCGCCGGACACGTGCACCTGCGAAGCAGCGCACGGGGCGCCGCCGCCTCCGCCGAACCGGCAGGGCGAGCTTCACTCCCAGCTGAAGCAGCCGAAGGCGCGGGTGCCTCCGCACCTCGGGCGCGCGCCTCGAGCCTCTCCTTCACCGGGCCAAGCGCCGCCAGGATCGGGCCAGCGCGCGGCGGCCGCGGAGCCTGCTTGGGGCGCTTGGGCGCCAGGCGGAGCGCGTCAGCGCCGTCGGCGGCCTGCTCCCCGCCGTCGCGCGCCGCGATGGCATCGGGGGGGGGCGCCTCCTCTCCCGCGCCAGGCGCCGCGTCCGGCTGCGGGCCCGCCTCGGCGCCCTCGGCCCCACAGGTCGCGGCTGCGGCCAAGAGCGCCCCCACCACGAGGGCCCCCGCGAGGTGCGAGACCGCAGCCCCCTGCGCCGGGCTGGGAGCGGACGGCGCGCCCGGGGAGGCAGCGCCGAGGGGCCAGCGTCGGGGCGCGGCCCGGCGTCGAGCTCGCGAGCCGGCGAGCGGGGCCGACCACGCCCCTGCCCCTCGCGCGCAGCACGGCCAGGCACGGGGCCCTGACCAGCCGGCTGAGAAAGGCCAGCCTCGAGGTGCGGCGCGAAGTCGCCATCCTCGGGTTCCGAGCCGCGGCCGCCCGCTGGGCCATCATCGCGCGGCCTGCGACGGCGGCCCGCCAGCCTCTGCCACCGTTCCACCAGCGGGTCCACCAGCCAGCGGCGCGGCAGCGGCCCAACTCGCTCCCCGCCCCGGCTGACCAGGAAGCTGCGCGCAATGCGGAACCGCGCCGCTATCACCTCCGGACTCTCACGCCGCGCACGCCGACGGCTGGAGGTCGAGCGCAGCCAAGTTCTGTGGCAAATCTCCTCGGCCAGCTGGCGTCGCCGTCGGGCGAGGTCCGCCCCTGCCGGCCCGCCCAGCAGAGGCGCCGCATGCGGCTGGGCCAAGGCATGCATCACGTACAGCACGCAAACCTCGCTCCAGCCGGCCAACCCCCCCTCCTGCGAGAGCTGCCCCTCAGGTACCCACGCCTTGGCTATCTCTGTGAGCCGCCCCTCCAAGAGCTCGACGCTGAGGGAGGCCTGATCCAGCCAAGGGTCAGGCGCCGGATCCGGTGGCCGGCAGCGCGGCGCCGAGCCCGCTTGCGCATCAGAATGGCTCGTCACATCACCTGCGCCAGGCGCCGCGCCGCCCCGCGAATCAGGTTCGCCTAGGTCGGCGGCGCCCGGCAGCGCGCCGCCTGGCCGCCCCGCAGCCCCAGAAGCGCCAGCAGCGGGCCCCAGCAGCGGACCCTCGCGCCCATCCAAGCCCAAATCTCCACCGGCTGCGTCCGCGGCATCGCACGGCGGCGGCGGCCCCGGCGGCTTCCCTGGCGGCCCCAGCGGTGCGCTAGAGCGATCGGCGGCCCCGGCGGCCTCGCCGGCGGCTCCAGCGGCGCCCCAGGCGGCTTCAGCGCACGGCGCCAAGCCAAAATCTCTACTGGCCGCGGTCTGCGGCGCGGGCGGCGCCGGCTCCCGATACAGGCCAGAATCTCCAGCGGCCGCGGGCTGCGGCGCGGGCGGCGCGGGCGCCCGATCCAGGCCCAAATCTCCACCGGCCGCGGTCTGCGGCGTCAGCTCGCCGGCGGCCCGCACGGCGGGGGCGGCAGCGCGCGCGGCGTGGAAGAGATAATCCACCTTGGCCTGGAGGCTGGCGTCTCACTGGCTCCCGTTGGCCACGCTGGCGTCGGCGCAACAGGTGGCCGGGGGGGGGCACTGCCGGCGAAGTGCCTGCTGCTGTGGGCGCGGCCCCGAGGACGGAGAGCGCCCGCTCGTGGCCCAGGGTGGTCGGCGCGCACGCGGACCCGGCCAACGCCCGTTGGGCGCCTCCGGTGTAGGCCGTGCGCCCGCAGGCAAGGCAGACAAGGCCTTGGCGGTCCTGGGACCGAGGGTGGGGGCACCAGCGCAAGTCGTGCTGGATGATGGTCAGCTTGGGCGGGGCCGGGGGCGGCCTGGGCATCGCCGCCTCGTTCGAGTCCCAGAGGCCCGATGAGTGCACCTGCACGGAGGCCCACACGTGAAACTCCACGACGCTGAGAACGTGCTGGAGCCTGAGCTCGAGGTTCCGCGCGAGCCCCAGCGCCAGCCGGACCTGCCACATGGCCACCGACGCGAACCAGTCTGCCCAAGCATTGCCGATCCAGTCTACGAGCGGCACTCCACGGTGGAGCGCCTCCTCGGCTGTGAGGTGAGAGGGGGCCCAGCGAAAGTCGGGCGCCGCGACGTCGGCGCGCCGCGCAATGGCGCTGCGCAGCCGTCGCCAAAGCCGCGCGTGGGTGCCGCGCGAGGATGCGCCCCTGGCGCTCCAGCGCAGACCCTCGGTCACGAACGAGAGGTGGTCGGAGACCAGGCAGTCGACGCCGTCCCCCGCCTCGAAGGCCACGGCGCCGCCGTAGCGCTCAGCCCGCGCCACGGTCTGGATGCTCCCGGGGAGCGCACCACAGAGAGCTCGCAACGGGATGCCCATGTCGCTGATCTGGACCGCCGACCACGTGCACTGCGCGAGCTCGGGGACGTCGGCCGCGTGCCCGGACCCGTCGGCGTACACGGTGCCGCGCCAAGGCCCCGCATGATCGCCCCACCGAATCACGGGCGGGCAGGGGAGCTCGGGGAGCTCTGCCAGGGTGGGCATGCACGGGAGCCCAAAGACATTCGACAGCGAGTCCAGGCTGGCACCGCCGAAGCCCGCGGCGCACTCCTGGATGATGGCCTTCCGCACCGCGAGAGCGCGCTCGCGTCGCTCGGGCGGCTGCTCGTCTGGGGCGGCCAGCAGCGGCGCGCAGCCAAATCAGCGATGGGGGTGGTCCTTGGCCGCGGCCCCGCAGGCGGTGCAGGCAGCGGATGAGCACAGGCCCTCAGCGTGCCGCCGAGCTCTCGGTCAGGCCCCGCCCGACCGTGTGTGTGTGTGTGTGTGTGTGTGTGTGTGTGTGTGTGTGCGTGTGTGTGCGCGTGCGTGTGCGTGTGCGTGTGCGTGTGCGTGTGCGTGTGCGTGTGCGTGTGCGTGCGTGCGTGCGCGTGCGTGTACGTGTGTGTGTGTTGTGTGTGAATTGTGTATTGTGTTGTGTGTGTGCGTGTGTTTGTGTGTGTGAATGTGTGAATGTGTGAATGTGTGAATGTGTGAATGTGTGAATGTGTGATTGTGTGAATTTGTGAATGTGTGTGAGTGCGAATGTGTGCGAATGTGAATGTGAATGTGAATGTGAATGTGTGTGTGCGTGCGTGTGTGTGTGTGCGTGTGCGTGTGTGTGTGTGCGTGTGTGTGCGTGTGTGTGCGTGTGTGTTGTGTGGGTGTGTGTGTGTGTGTGGGTGTGTGTGCGTGTGCGTGTGCGTGTGCGTGTGCGTGTGCGTGTGCGTGTGCGTGTGCGTGTGCGTGTGCGTGTGCGTGGGCATGTGCGTGTGGCGTTGTGGCGTTGTGCGTGTGGCGTTGTGGCGTTGTGCGTGTGGCGTGTGGCGTGTGGCGTGTGGCGTATAGCGTGTGTTTACTTGCGTTTGCGTGCGTGTGCGTGCGTGTGCGTGCGTTTGCGTGCGTTTGCGTGCGTTTGCGTGCGTTTGCGTGCGTGTGCGTGCGGATGCGTGCGGTTGCGTGCGGTTGCGTGCGGTTGCGTGCGTTTGCGTGCGGTTGCGTGCGGTTGTGTGCGGTTGCGTGCGTTTGCGTGCGTTTGCGTGCGTTTGCGTGCGGTTGCGTGCGGTTGCGTGCGTTTGCGTGTGGATGCGTGCGTTTGCGTCTGGATGCGTGCGGTTGCGTGCGGTTGCGTGCGGTTGCGTGCGGTTGCGTGCGGTTGCGTGCGTTGCGTTGCGTTGCGTGCGTTTGCGTGCGTGTGCGTGCGTCCGTGCGTTTGCGTGCGTTTGCGTGCGTTTGCGTGCGTTTGCGTGCGGTTGCGTGCGGTTGCGTGCGGATGCGTGCGCTTGCGTGCGTTGCGTGCGATTGCGTGCGTTTGCGTGCGTTTGCGTGCGTTTTCGTGCGTGCGTGCGTTTGCGTGCGTTTGCGTGCGTTTGCGTGCGGTTGCGTGCGTTTGCGTGCGTTTGCGTTGCGTGCGGTGCGTGCGTTTGCGTGCGTTTGCGTGCGTTTGCGTGCGTGCGTTTGCGGTGCGTGCGGTTGCGTGCGGTTGCGTGCGGTTGCGTGCGTGCGTGCTTGCGTGCGTTTGCGTGCGTTTGCGTGCGTTTGCGTGCGTGTGCGTGCGTTTGCGTGCGTTTGCGTGCGTTTGCGTGCGGTTGCGTGCGTTTGCGTGCGGTGCGTGCGTTTGCGTGCGTTTGCGTGCGTTCGCGTGCGGTATGCGTGCGTTCGCGTGCGGATGCGTGCGGTTGCGTGCGGTTGCGTGCGGTTGCGTGCGGTTGCGTGCGGTTGCGTGCGTTTGCGTGCGTTTGCATGCGTTTGCGTGCGTGTGCGTGCGTTTGCGTGCGTTTGCGTGCGTTTGCGTACGGTTGAATGCGGTTGCGTGCGTTTGCGTGCGGATGCGTGCGTTTGCGTGCGTTTGCGTGCGTTCGCGTGCGGATGCATGCGTTTGCGTGCGGTTGCGTGCGTTTGCGTGCGTTTGCGCGCGTTTGCGTGCGTTTGCGTGCGTTTGCGTGCGTTTGCGTGCGTTTGCGTGCGTTTGCGTGCGTTTGCGTGCGTTTGCGTGCGTTTGCGTGCGTTTGCGTTTGCGTGCGTGCGTGCGTGCGTGCGTGTGTGTGTATATGTGTGTGTATGTGTGTGTGCGTGTGCGTGTGTGTGAGAGGCTCCTGACGAACGGCTCGGCGTCGATCCCAACTTTCGCCAGCTGCTCCGACACCTCTGGGAACCGTCCACATATACACTAAGATATCTGCGCCCTGTCCCATGGGGATTCGCAGAATCGCCACAGGACAACCTATGGTGTATCATTTTCGGCCGGTTATCCAGGCGACAGCTGTTGAAAACAAATATACACTGTGTTAGGCCGCAATTTGCCACCGAGTGGTGGACAATCAAAACATAAAATAGAGGACATGTTCCTGGCTCCGAACCTCCGTCAGGAAGATGTTGAACTCGGCCGACACTTCGCTCGCCAGCAATATCGCCCTCGCCTTGATCAGCTCGACGTCGTCCACTGGGTAGATGGCCACTGCGGCGTCCACGGTAATGGCCGCACTGAATGAGCTAGTGAGACGCCGGCCCACACCTGAGGGGCAACGATAGGGAAGGGACAAGCTCAAGGGGGGGGGAAGGGCAATCATCGCTGGAATCGGCGATACATCGCCGATGGATCGGCGATAGGCCCCCAGACAGCGAATCCGCGCGTTCCTGGGCGGGGTGGGCTACCACGCCCATATCGGCGATGAAAGGGCGCTTATAGGTCGATGCATCCCCGCCTGGGCCTGATCCGCCCCCTGTCGTTGCCCCTGGACACCGTCCACCAAGGAGGCCTCGCTGGCGCCGCCGCCCCGACTTCGCAGACGCCGCGCAGCCGCCTCGACGTCGCGGATGCCCTCGATGCTCACCTGCATGATGTCGACGCCGACCACCTTGGCGACGGCCCTGGGCCAGATGCCGAAGACTGCGTCGGACAGCGCCCACGAGGCATCGAAGGTGGTAGTCAGCCGCCGCGCAGCTTGCACCTCCTCGGACAGCCACGAGTCGTTCAGCGGCGGCCACGGCACCCGCCGATCTGACAGCAGCGTCGAAGTCTGGTCCAGCTCGGAGATGACGCCCGCCACCATGCTGAGGGAAGAGCCGGAGGCCGCTGCCGCGCTGGCCGCCAGCTCCCCTGCTTCCTCGGCGAGCGCCCCGGTGGCCAGGACGAGCTCCGCGATCGCCTGCGCCGCCTGCTCCGCGCTTGCGCCGGCGGCCCCGGCGGCCGCCCACGAGGCCTCGACGGCCTCCGCCGCACCCGCCGCCTCCCAGACGGCGAAGTACACCGCGCCGGCCGTGGCCTGCCAGCCTGCGCCGAGAAGTGGCTGCAGCTGCTGGCCCAAGGCCGCCCCGGATGCGCCACCGCCAACGAGCGCTACTGTCTCGTTGCGCACGACGCGCTGGTCTGTCGCAGTCGCCGCCAGGTACGGCTGGAGCAGCTGCCAGCGGACCCGCTGCCGCCCGGTGAGGTCTGCGGCGTCCACTGCGGCGGCGTAGCCCCGAGCTATGGCGTAGCTACCCTCGAACTGGCTGATGGAGTCGGCCCCGTAGAGCTCGTAGGTGATCACCGCGATTTCTTGCACCGATCTCAACGTCAACAAATGAAGCGAGGCCCTCACCAGGCCAGCCCGGGCCACGGCATCGGCAACGTCGAGGCCCGCCCGAGTAGCTGCCAGGACGCAGGCCTCCGAGGCCGCATCCTCCGAGAGGTCACCAAGCCGTGCCGCCACGTACGCAAGCCACGGCGCCAGGTGTACCATGTCCGTGGCACCTGCAGCGGCAAGCGCGCCCTCCACGAGCTCTGCGATCGCCTGCGGAGTCCTCGACTCCGTAGCCAGGGCGGTCACCTGCTCGTACGCAGTTTCAAAAGCCTCAGGTACAGACATGAAGGGAATAAGCTCCGGAATCATCCGAGATACCGCAGTGGCCGCTTCGACCAGCAACGCCGTGTCCACCACCACTGCCACGCCCTTCCGGGCAGCAGCCAGACTATCCGCAGTAATATTTCGCTCGCTGAGCTCGGCCAGCGCGGCATTCGCGGCTGCGCGCGTGGCCTCCACAGGACCACCAAAGAAAGCCAGCTCGCCCGACTGGCGGAGCAGGGCCAGGTAGCCCGCCGTGGCCACGGCCCAGCTGGCCGATTCTCCCCGCGACTCGCCCACGATCGCCACGGCGCGGCCGGCCACCTTCGCATCCCCGGACGCGTAGAGGACTGCGTCGTACACGGCTGCGGCATGCTCACTGGACCAGTCGAAGGCGTTTTGCCCCATGGGCGTGAAGGGCACTCCGGCAAAGTCCGCGGCATCGCGCGTGGGGCCGGTGCTCACGCTGGCGGCGATCTCCCGAGCCGCGGCGGAGACGCCCGCCGTGGCCGCGAGGGCGGCCCCGGCGGCGCGGAATCTGGCCTCCAGCAGGTCAATGTCCTTCCCCTGCCTCCGCGGCAAGGCCTTGACCGCCCGCCAGGCCATGTCCTCCACCGCCTCGTCGAAGGTCTCCTCGTGCATCGCGATGGCGGCCAGGATCACCACGATCGCCGAGAGGGTCACGGCGTCGGGGCCAGCGGAGCCGCCGCCTTCGGCCTGGAAGTACCACAGGGCGAGCAGCGCCTCGACCAGCTCGGAGGCGGTGCCGCCGAAGCAGCTCGCGACGGGGGCCGTGCTGAGGGCCAGGCGACTCAGGATGAGGACGGCCCTCTCCGTGGTAACGCCTGCCTGGAGTTCCTCAAGCGTGGTGGCGTCTACCAGGGCGAAGAGCGCCGCCTCAACAAAGCTCAGCCCCTCATCCTTCGCAACAGCAGCAACCTTTACCGCATGGCTGACGGTGCCGACGCCCAGCGCCGCTTCATCCATGACCTCTTGGATTGTCTTCGGAGGGCTGTCCGTATAGCTGCTCCTGAAAGCCTCGATCTCATCCTTGGTAATGCCGTACGCCAGGGCGGAGATGATCGCCGCATCGCCATGGCTGTATTTGTGAGCAAGCGCTGTGGGGTACGTGGCCACGCACCGAGCAATCTCTGTCATACCCTGATCCACCACTAGGGAATTCACGGTGGTGCCGAAATCCTCTCGCGTTGCGGAGCTCGGCGCGAACAAGGGAGCCTTCGCTGCGACGAAGCTGAAATCCTGCTGGCCTGCCAGCCCGCGCACGAGTCCTGCAGCCGTGAGAGCACATTGGTCGATGTACTGTTGCGAATAGCTTACCGACATCTCCTCGAGGACGAGAACCTGTTGCACCGCGAGCGCGATCCGGCTGGGCTCAACAAGCACGTCCGCAGCCTTCGCAGCCAGCGCCGCTGTGATGCCGCAGGACACCGACAAAGGGCTCTCCATGTACAGCTCGCCCAGAGCTGCTACGAGCGCGTCGTGAATGCTCGCAGTGGAAACTCTCCCGACTGCGATGCGCGCATCCCCAGGCTCGACCGACGCAGGGATCACGGCCGCCGTGAGGGCGGCGGTCTCGAGGCCGAAGGGGCGCGCGCCCGCGGCCGCGGCGAGCGCGAGCTGCTCTGTGGTGTTAAAGCCTCTCCCCAGCGCCGCGAGCGCGGCGGCCTCGGCAGCCTCCGCGGCCCCTAGGCGGTGCACGCGCGCCAGCATGCCCACGGTCTTGCCCACGGATGCGAGGCACTCGAGGCTGCTGCCTGTGCAAGCCACGAAGGCGCACGCGGCTGCGACCTGCACCGCCTCTGCGCGAGCCAGCCCCGCCTCGACGCAGACGGCGTAGGCCGCCTCTGCGCCCGCTCCGGCAGCCCCGTCGGCACCGGGCAGGTGCGCACACAGCGCCGCCGCCACGGCGTCGATCTGGCTGGCCCGCGCCCCCGCGTCCGCGACGGCGGAGGAGGGCTCGGCCACGGCCTCCTGGACCGCCGAGAGGAAGTCGGCCGCGGCCCGCGCCGCCGACAGGTTGGCCAGCGCGATGCCGGCGAGCCTCGCAGCGGCGTACGCCGCCGCGACCTCCGCCTCCCAGGCCGCGTCGCCCGCCGCGAGGCAGCCCCTGCGGGTCCGCTCGGCCGCCAGGGCGCGGTCGCGACTGCTCGGCTCCCACGTGGCCAGGCCGAGGTCGGCGCGGCTGACCTGCCGCAGCGACGCGAACAGCGAGCCCGCCAGCTCCCCCAGCGCAGGGCTGCCGCCCTCCCCCAAGGCCTCCCCGCCCAGCGTGAGCCTCCGGCTCCCGCCCGCGCTGGCGCCGCGCAGCTGCACCTGCACCAGGCCGGACGCGGCGTCGACCACCGCGCCGAGGGCCAGCCAGCTGCTCAGCGAGAGGTCGGACGCGAGGAGCGCTCGCGCCAGGGCCTGGGCGGACTGGCCGGCATCGGCGCCGTCGTTGAGGACAACCTGCGCGCGCAGTGGGCCCTGGAAAGAGCAGGACGATTTTGGCATGACCGAAGAAGTCTCTGAAGCGTGAAAATGACAAGCAGCTGCATCTATGCACTAGATGATACACGCTCCTGGTTTGGAAATAAAGCCCAAACCAAAAACGAGCGGCTTCGGAACCTGGGGTGGAGCGGCGCCCGGATGAACTAAAAAACTGCAACACGGAACTGCTAAACATCGGCCCTGTCTTTGCCAGGGCTCACTGGGAACCTGCGCGTAGTCCGAGCCCGTCGTGGCGGCGTCGGCCTCATCTGGCTCGGTGAGCAGAAACTGTAGGGCTGCAATCGTGTAGTTCGCCTGCTCCTGGAGGGACAGCCCGTTCTCCACGGCGCCCACAAGCAGGGCCAGGATCTCGTGCCTCGGAGGCACCGCCGCAACGGCATCCAGCGCTGCAGCAACGACCAGCACCATTTCATGGGCCGAGATGCCTGGTGTTGCGACCTTCTCGGTTTTAATGGTCTCCAGCGCGAGAGCACGGTAGGATAGCTCCTCTTCTTGAGGATTGGATGTCAATGTCAGAGAGATGGCTACCACAGTGCTGTCTTCGAAGTCGCCCGTGCCCTCCTTGTAGTTCTCCTCAAGCACGCAGACCTGCGGCGGGATGTACCAGCTGCCTGCCTTGCAGATGGGTCTTCGTGAACCCAGGCCCCCGGGAGGAGAAGCCAGGAGGAGGGAGGAGCGTCACTGGGACACCGTGAGATATGACAGATGCTTTTGCTCTAGCCTCGCTCGACGATGGAGCCACTCAGGTGTGCTGGAGCGCCCGCACACACGCCTGAGCCTCGAGCGCAGAGTCTACGGCATAGGGAGCGGCAACATATATGCTCGGGAACTGGTAGAGGTTTAAACCTGGCCCAAGGCCTCTAGCTCGAGACTCAAGGCGTTTGTTTGGTACAACTGTGCCCCCAATTGTTTTTGTACCAATGAGCTTCATGGCCGATGGAGGACAGCGACGAGGGAGACGGGGAGGACTAGCGAGTGGTTCGCGGAGCACCCCGCCTGCACCGAGCCGCAGGTGATCGTGTCGACGGAGGGTCTGTACCCCGGTTCGCACTTCACGTCGCACGTTGACCCGTAGCTCGCGGGCAGCGTGCAGTGCGACATGTCGGAGGCCAGAAGAAGGCTCGACCTTGAATGCCGAGCCGACCACTAAGATGGGAGGAAAAAGAGCAAGACGAGGAGTGGAAGGAGGAAGGGAAGAGGAGGGGTGAGGGAAGGAGAGAGGAAGGGGGGGAAATGGAGGAGGCAGAGGAAGCGCTGGAGGAGGAAGAGGGGTTGCGTGTATGAGTTGGGAGTGGAGGAGGATCGGGAGAAGGAGGAGGAGGAGGCGCAGGAGGGAGAGGGGGTAGAAGGGGATGGAGGAGAGGGAGGAGGAAACGGGGGAGAGGAGGAAAGGACAACGACGAGGGAGATGAGGAGAAGGGGGAGGCAGAGAAGTACAAGGAGAAAGAGGAAGAGAAAGAGGACAAGAAAGAGTAGGAAGAGGAGGAAAAGGAGGAGGAGGAGGAGGAGGGTGAGGAGGAGGAGGAGGAGGAGGAGCGGGGGCAGGAGGATGCAGACGCAGAGGAGGCAGAAGAGGACGGAGAAGAGAGGTCGATGAGGGGAAGAAGAGGAAGCAGGGCGATGATGAGAAGGAGGAGCAGAGAAGGATGATGATGATGATGATGCTGATGATGATGATGATGATGATGATGATGATGATGATGATGATGATGATG